GAAATTAATTAAAATAAAAAAAAAAGGGAAACAAAAGTTTAAGAAAATCATTTGGAAGAAAGAGCTCCTTTGGCTCTCCAATCCAGTTCCTGAGGCGAGACTTCCAGCCTCCACTGGAGAGGAAACCAAAGCTTTTTTTCCCTTTTAACTATTGTCTCCTGTCACACACAATTTCAGCTTACTTTTAGATCCTGACAGGTATATTCTGATTTCAGAATCTTTATTCTTAATTCTCCCCCTCTCAAATAAGTAATGCTGCAGTCACAAATCTGATTCACGTTCAAGTGTGATCACTCAGTCATTGACAAATATATCTGTTACTTTATAGGACTAGTGCAAGTGCTTGTGAAAGACATTAGGAGTTTAAAGTCACTAGGATATGAATACTGTCTGTTCCTGTGTTTAAGAGTTTGTAGGTAAATTGAAATAGTTCTGGTTTAGCCTTGAGTCAAAATCAACTGAATAGTAGTGGATTTGGGCTGCTGGGTTTTTAGTGCCAGGAAAGACTTGAAACCTTTTCAGGGATTTAAATGCATCACTTATACCAATTGAAAGTGATTGTGCTGAAGAGTTTGTTGAAAGTAGGGGTTGGTTGACTTATTTCAGATTGGGACCAACTTTATATAAACTTAAAGGACAAGTAGGGATTGACCTGTAAATTGAACATTTTAACCAGGGACTTGCCTGTTTCCTGAATGGGGAGAGGGAGATCAGTGATTGGGGGAAAAAGGGTGGAAGCTAAGACAGAACAAGAAACAAACTTGGAAGTATGCATTTTTTTGCTTTGGGCTAGTGTTATTTAAACAGATCCAAAACTTGGGCCCTGATAGTTGTAACGCAAATAAACATAAGCAGCTAGCTTGCGGTCTTGATAAAGCAGTCTCTAAATCTCTGCCTTTCTCCTCTCACCTTATGATATTGATGTGCATGTGGTTAAAATAAAAATAAGGACCTTTTTTTAAAATAACACAACAGCAGTGGTTTGTTTTCTTTTTAAAAAAGCACAAAAACCCCCAAAACCAAAAAAACTGTTGTTGTAGTTTCTTTGAAATAGTCTTTGTTTCATTATCATCTCTTCCTAGCCAAGCACATAAAAGTTTGCAGGTACATGGCTCAATGCTAATAATTTAAATTTTATAAGTTCTCAGAGTTGAAACGATTAAAAATGGTTTAGTTTTAGGAATATAAACTAAGAGAATCCCACATTTAGCAGTAGAAATGAGGTAGAGCTATATGTAAAGTTCAGGTCAGTGATAGTGCCAAATTGTCAAGTACATTCATCATAACCTTTATCTTGGTTTCCTAGACCTGCTGTTACAGAAATAATACCTTAAGTCCATGTCGTTGTCTTTTTTTTTTTTGGCTTGGTTTCTTTTGAAGGTGCAAGTACAGATTGTTTTATAAGAAAAGAGAGAGATGGGTCGTTCTCCAAAAGTAAAGTGGATTTAAACCAAGGATGTGCCTGTTAAGAACTGATTTGTTTTCTCATTGTGGGGGAGTTTAGAAGTCTGAATTCAGGCACTGTCTCTGGGAGAAGACTAACCACTAGGGGGAAAATCTTCATCTCTGTGAGCTTCTTTTCCTCCGGAACTTCCACATGGCGTCTATCTTAACCTTATTTGTGCTTGTTTAGCCTGTGTTTAATATGCTTTGTTTGTATCTCTAAAGGGAGCGCTGGATATCCTTGAAACAGCCTTTTTGAGAGTCTTCTTTTCACTGACCCCTACACGTTTTTCAGTATGATACTACCACCTCCTGACAACATACCCAAAATAAGTGAGATATAGTTTGACCATTCTTTACTTCCAGGAGTACCCTGGCTGCACTTCATCCAGGACAGACTTGTTTGTTCTTTTTGTAATCTGTGTAATTCAGTACACTTCTCCAGAAACTACAGTTCGACACCATCAGTTCTTCCCCTAGCCTCTTTATTCATTGTCTCACTTTCAG